CCACGCTAATTGCAGCACAGCTCATGTCAGGACTGAAATTGCGTTAGCAGGTTGGGGGCTGGGGGACGGTGCTGGCATTAAGAACCCTCCGTGCTCTGATTATTTCTACTGAGATACACGTCTGAACGAGCTTGTCAAGTGAAATTTTCTGTCTGGTTAGAAATGGATTTTCGAGCTTCTTGCTCACATGTAAACATTTTTAGTGGTCCCCAGCCAAAGCAGAGCAGCAAAGCAAACATCAGAGCGAGCAGACCCAATCCCTTCAGGGAAATCATCAGCCGCAGATGGAAACAAAATGCACGATGGCTTCAAAAGACATCCATTAAACTGTGTGCTGGAGTGATTCATGGCGCTGGTAGTTAGGGTTTAATTAGATCTTAATCACGTAATTTTATCTTTGTTTTAGAAATTAGAGCTTAATGACTGCATTGCTCTCACAACAGTGCCGTAACTAAACATGGTGATAGCACATGGCAGCACTGCAGCAGGCAGAGATGGGACGGAGATTATCTGCGCTCTCAGATCATTATTTCTTAAATAAAGTGTTTGGATCCACAAGAACCCAGCATTGCTGAGAGAGCGGGGGAGGCTGAGGGCTGCTGGGGGAGGAGGGGGCGGTCTGTGGCCCCATCCCAGGAGCAGCAGGGGGAGATGATGTGTGATACCGAGGGATGGAGCGAGGCTCGTCCTTCTCTGCTGCTGGGAGACCCTGTGCCTCCCAGCTCCGTGCCCCCACTGTCCTTGGGCCCTGCCGTGCCCCTGCCGCAATGCCCGCCCCCTCCCCCTCCTGTTTGTTATGCCACATCAGCCATTGAACTCATTACTGTGGCAGATTATAGGTCCCCAGGTAATCACGCATATTCAGATAATTACTAACAGACCCTCTAATAGGAATGAACTCAGCTGAATCCAGTCAATCTCTAGGTAAATATTTGTACCTGAGCCATCCTTATCGCCAGCACTGCAGCATGCGGGTATTGCTGCCATCACTGCTGCACTCAAGGTCTGCAGAGAGCAGCACTGCCATCACCTCTGTTCCTGTGCCCCCGGTGCCGTGCAGCTGCTGTTGGGTGGGCTGGGACCAGCCCCATGGCTTTGCACTGCAACCTGTGCCTTTGGAGATGGTTTCTTTGCAGGGGATGAGGCACAGCATTGTGCTGAAATGCTTTTGTTGGGAGCATTCACAACTGAGTCACTGAGCTCAGAGTCGACCACTGGCTCAGCATGGCAGTGCCCTGGCTGCAGGGAGCCGTCCTAATTGGGCATCTGGCTAATTAGCTGTCAGGTGACGAATAATGCAGTGATGCCCAGACTTCAGTGCAGTATTGATACAATCACATCCTCCCATTTTCACATGCTCTTGTTCAATGGAGCATGGAATAGAGCTCGTGGAAGAACTTGGAGAACCTTCAAAGTGAATTAACTATGCCCATTGGTGTGCGGAGTGGCAGGAGGTGCTTATGTCATTGTGGCTGTGCCTCTGGGGGCTCACCTGGCTCTGCTCTAGCATTGATGGGGATGGTGGTACCACTGGAGATGGTGGCACCGTGCAGGAATGCTCTGACAGCACACCGCTGTTGGCTGCTGCAGCCTGGTAAAATACAAAGAAGGAATCCTGACCTACTTGAATGCATTGCCATCCCAACTCTTGCCTGAGTGTTAATGATTTCCAAGGGGTTAGAGGTTCCTGTTAATGAGCATATTTATTTGCTGCCCGGCTCCTCTTGGGTGGAGAAAAAGGTCGTTAGAACTCTGTGTAATTCAGTTTAGAGACACAGGTGGGTAGGAGTGGAAGCAGTCAGTACTGGGCTTTGGGTAAGCACTGTGTGCTGAGAACAGAGCACAGAGGGACTGGAAAACATGATGGGACCTGGAGCTGACATCCTGCAGGGTAATTCCTGAGAGAATTGCAGGAGGGGCTGTGGATTGACCCAGGGATGGAGTGGATGTGGTTCCTAAGTGAACAGAACTCCTCAGAAGGCCTGAGCTTCAGAGGAGCGTGGTCAGTTTACACACTATACTTTACTGGCTCACATAAAATAGAAATCCAATTGACTTCTGCAATAGGAAGAGAGCAGCAGGTCTGTCCGTGGGTCTGTCTGTGGTTCTGACCGTGGCTCTGTCCATCACTGGGTCCATCCGCCTGGCCCAGCAGCAACCCATGGCCACAGAGCTCTCAAAGGGAGACGGATGTGGCTGAGGTTCCCCCTGGCTCTAAGGCTCTCACTTGGCTCCTGCTCCCTGCTGCAGCCAATAAACACGGAGCCAGCAGTGAAGGTGAACTATATTAATTAAGAAGAAGTTAATGAAATTTTCTCACCACTTACGGATACGTGATCCCACTTCAGTCTGAGAGACAAACGATGCTTCTCAAGCAACTGAAAATACTGCGGTGTCATCCAACACACAGCCCAGAGCTGGGTGGTGCAGCGTGGTGCTCATGGCTGGGACATCCCAACCTCTGGTGCCACTGAGCAGCACCACACCAGGAGAGCAGAGCAGCCGAGTGCCTGCAGCTCTGTGCCTGCAGCTGCACGCTCACAGCCACCTTCCTGCCTTTGCTGGGGTCTTGCCATGAGAGGACAGTTTTCTTCCGACCCAGCGTGGCTCAAGAGCTCTTCAGCATAAACAGTACCGGGGACCACTTAAGCCACATTCATTACGTTTAAGTATTTATGAGCTGATAAATATTAAACAGCCACTCAAGGGACTTCAAGCCTGAGTGATCCGATCACAACACAGAGCACGCAATGGCTGCAGGGCTGCAGCACTGGGGGGGCTGTGGCAGTGTCCTGAGCCCTGCAGCCTTACAAGGGTACACGGCCATGGTCCTGCAGCAGCACAGAGGGAGCAGGCGCCCTCCTGCCCCAGGAGAACCCGTCCTGAGCTGTACTACAGGGGCCGTGCAGTCTCACTGTGCACTGAACGTGAGTGCTGACTCCATGGCTGCAGCCTGATCCCTCCTCGCGTGCAGCTGGACGCAGTGCTCTGAACTTGGCACGCATGTTAACCGAGTCACCCAAAGGTTGCTGTGCCATCCTGTCTGTGGACATTTCCATCAAGCCGTGATGCACTCTGCAGCACAGCATTCTGCTGCCCTTAACCAAAGCATAGGGGACAGGAAAGGCATACCCATAAAAATTATACAGTGACTGTTACGATTTACATGCTGGCTTATCAAGTTCACTCCTAAAGCTTTTTCCTACCACCTATTATGACTGTTTAATCACATGGATGCTGCTCAGGACCACAGCTGTACAGCACAGGAAATACATCTGACAAAGCCAATTACCTCGGGCCTCCCTGCACATCCCTCTCTTGGGTGCCATTGGCACTGACTGCCCCTCCTGTATGGATGTGGGCCCAGCACCACCCCATACTGTGACCAGCCCTGCAGGGCTCCAACCCTGCTGCCTGCTGCTGCATGGGATGGATGGGAGCCCCGACCCCCATGCATCTCCTCCTCCCTGACTCTGCACGTGCTTACAGCGCTCCCAGCACTCACTAAGCCAGGGCTTTGGGCTGATTTAGCCACTGGGAGGGGATTAGTTCCTCTAATCCGGGCTGCTTGAAATCGTGCTGTGCACCAGAGGGCTCTGTGCTGTGTGCTCAGGACCCAGTGGCATTTGGGAGCTTGGGGGGACACAGCTCCATGATGGCACCTGCTGTGGCACCCAGCTTCCTCCTGCAGCTCCTCTGCACAGCACTGGCATTGCCGTGCACAGGTTGCCTGCTTGAATGCCTTTTAAGCCTTGTTTTAGGAGCTTCCAACATGATTAGCATGGTCAGCACAGCCCTTCCTGAGCCCTCATTTGCCTACCTCTTGGAAATTTAATACCTGATGCAAGCCCATTTCTGCTCCCTACATTTGTAAGAACAAATGTAGAGTAATTGTCTGATATTGCTGTGGTTTCCCCAGCCTCCAGCTCTAATTTCCCACTAATACGGTACTGCTGGGGGGATCAACCTAGCCCAGTACCTTCTGCTTCCTTGGAGTGGATTGGAAATGGCTTTTTCACTGCAAGCCTGGGATTTGTGAGTCTTGCTGTGAATGCTTTTTTTCTTTTTTCCTTTAAAGGAAAAAATCATATGAGAAGATATCCCATCTTCCTGATAATCCCCCCTTGGCCACCGCCTGCCCACAGCTGTCCCTGGGGCCACACTGCTGGGTGCTCCCCGGCTCCTGCAGCTGCTGCTGGGCAATGGTGGGAGGGATGTAGGGAGGGTGCTGTAAGACGGCCATGAATTACCTCCAAGATCAGAGTTCTTTGCACAGGAATCAGCCCTAGGAAGGCTCAGGAAGAGCAGTCCAGCAGTGGCACACGCTGCCCAGGGAGGTGGTGGAGTCACCATCTCTGGAGGTGTTCAAGAACCGTGGAGATGTGCACTGAGGTACACAGCTGGGGGGCATGGTGGGAGGGGCTGGGGTTGGGCTTGGTGATCCCAGAGGCCTTTTCCAACCTTAATGTTTCCATGATGCTATGTATGGTTCCATGGGCACAGGGCTGCCTGCAGGCAGGGCAGGCTGCAGCTCGGGCTCTAGCTGGGATTTAGACGCTAGTGGTAAATTGCAACCTTTGACAGAAACGCCTGAGATTTACTGAGAAAATCAATAGATGATTCAAACAGTCCAACACTCAGAAAGGCAGATAACATCTCTCCAGCAAGAGCTGCTGTTGATATGCACGACCAGTGGTGCTTGTTACTGTGACTGCTAATAGCCTGCTGAGATGGAGTACTGCAGGATGGGACAGGACCGTGTGAGTGCACAACCACAGCACAGATCTGCCCCGTTGTGCCCGGCCATGTCAGTGTCATTCCTGGTGTCATGACTGGAGCAGCTGAGCCCCATGCCAAGCTCTGCAGGGCCTCCTCCCTCCCTCTTGTGCTGTCCCTGGGTCTCTGTCTGCAGCACCGGCAGCCCAGCGCCACAGCTGGGAGGAGGATGCCACGGGGCTGCCCCAAACACAGAGGAGGTTGCCCTAAGAAAAGCCCATGCGTAAGGACCGGTGATAGCCTCTTTTATTTACACAAGGGATCACATGCTGAACAAGGACACTAGTGCCACTAAAGTACCCGTAACAGCAGGAGTCTGTGCTTTATTCACAGGACAAAATATTGGTACAACACGTTTCAAAGACGTTTTGTTTCAAGCAGATACATCTCACCCTCTTGATAGCCACACTGCTCTGCAGGGACAGAAGGCAGTGGGCAGCAGAGCCCTGCCTGCCCTGGGCACATCCTCTGTTCTACGTGCCCCGGGTCCCTTTGGGGTGCTGAGGAGGGACATACCCTAGAAGTGGGGCCATCACCACAGCACTGACACACAGGACTCCACAGCTGTGCATTGGGATGGCAGCACCTGTGACACCTGTGGGCACTGTGGTCCTGTCCCTGCTCACCCCGCAGCAGCCTGGCCCCCTCCTGCCATGCTGCGACTGCAGGAAGAATGGGGCTGTGCAGGTCCTGGCCCTGTCCCCCCATTGCCCCATGGAAGACTGCAGCTCATGTCACTGCAGCTCTGCTCCCAGCTGCTCATTCCCACCTGAAGTCCTGCCCGACTGTTTCATAGAACTTGATGTTGTAAGGTCTGTAAAAGTCCCGAAGCTGCTCTATCACCTCGGGGTCTATCTGCACGTGAGTCCTCCCCTTGGATTTGCCCAGGCAGCGCGGTGAGCTGTTGCTCTCTGTTTTTTTCAGGCAAGGAAAGCCTTTTGTCTTGTTGAAGTAGAAGTGCTTGTCGGTGATGACGCGCCGGATGCCCAGGAAGTCCTGCACCTTGCCCATCTCCCCAGCTGGGTCGGTGATCAGCTTCTCCCCACTGACAAAGTGGATCTGAGAGAGGGGGAAGTACTGCAGCCAGCTCTGCAGGTGCACGGCGTACATCCCGATACGGATGGCGTTCCAGGAGGTGTCCACCAGCCCCAGGCTGCGGTTGCGGAAGGACAGCCCCTCGAAGGTGGGGATGTCAGGCTTCTTGGAGAGTGTCTGCGTGTAGTCCGAGATGGCGCGGGTGACGGGGTTGCGCACCACCACGATCAGCTTGGTGTCCCGTGACATGTTGAAGATCCGCCGTGGGGCCTCCTTGGTGACAAAGTAGCTGGGGGTCTTCTCCACCGTGATCTGGCTGTCGAGTGTGCGTGGCATCAGGCTCCTGCAAGCAGAGAATGAGGTGGTGAGGAGCAGAACCAGGCTGGCAGGGTGTCCTTTCCCAGCAGGACCGGAGGATAGGAGGGCACAGCTCCCTCCTGTAGTACTGCAGGGGCTGCCCCAGCCATGTCCAGTCCCAGCTCCTGCAGGGGCTGCACCTACCTGGGATGCTCAGCCCCAAGGGCCCAGAGCCATGAAGGACAGAGGTGAAGGCACTGCCCTGGAGAGGTGCTATGCAGTAGCTGTGGCAGCTCCATCTCCACTGGTGCTGAATTCACCAGCTTCAGGGCAATGTGTGAGTTCACCCTGCAGCCATCTGCCCTGACCTCTGCCATGGCATTAACCATGAGAAAATCTCTGTGGAGCCTCCAGTCCATTCATCACATATTGCTACACTGGTTGCCATTCCCAAAAGAAATTACAGCTGCTCCTTCTGGAACTGTTGCAATTGCCCCTGCCATCATTGCTCTATGATTCTGCTGGTCACCACTAGTGCGAGCCAAGTGCCAGCCCCAAGTGCAGCCCCACTCCATGGGATCACAGCTGTCCCCACCTACGCCTGACCCCCAGCAGCCCCACATAGCCCTAGTGCCCATCTCTGGGTGAAGGCAGAGCCGCAGGGCTGGGGCAGGCAGCCCCGCTTAGTGCTAATTAAATCATTTGCTTTGATGCGTGAACATCCAAATCAAATAAAATCTAATGGGACGGAAAGATTTATAAATTGGCCTTGTACTACCAGAGTCAACCATTAGATCCATTGCAGCAGGAGAGCAGGGTGCCTGCATTGTGCCAGGAGCTGGCACAAGCCCCCTGCGGGTCACTGCCACTGTGACAGCACTGGGCATATGGCAGCACTGCCAACAGCAGCACCACTGGGATCAAGGAGAGGGGGACCCAAAGTCTGACTGAGGGGTCTGGGACAACACCTGTTCTGATGGCATCCTTTTGGTTGTGCTGCGAGCAGAATAGCTTCTCCTCCACCTTCAGGGCTTTGGAAGGAACAAGGATACAACGGTGCTGGACACAGATGGCTGCAGCACTGCCCAGTGCTCTGAGCATGCACTGGGGAGTGCACCCCAAGGGCCTCACTGTGCTCACAGGCACTTCATGTTTCAATTATGTTTATTGCTCAAAAGCATCTGTTACTTCTTCCACTGTGCAGTGGAAGTTAGTGGCTCGCTGATTACAATTCAGTTGTGAGCTGTAAGGCACAGATGCTGCCTGGGGAGAGCTTTACCATGAGCTCTGAGATGTGCATCCAGGAAAGCTTTGCTGGCAACAAACCCTGCATGCTGCAACCAGGGACCTGCTGCAGCTGCTCGGTGTGGGGGTCGTGAGTCCCTGGGGCTCCTGCAATCGAATAGGCAATGTCATGTGGCTGCACAGGAGTGCAAGGGAACCAGGGCAGTGAGGCGCAGGAGGAGCTGGTGCAGCAGTCATCTTAATAGAATTGGCTCTATTGATGTGTGGGCTCGCCCAGCAAAGCCTCAGGACAGCAGCAGTCACAGAAAGCAAACATCAGAGCACTGCCTGCAGCCGTTCCGCTGGAGAGCACAGGCACTGCTTTATTCATGGGATAACTCTGCATGGCCATGCCTCTTCCTGGCATACTGCAGCATGCATGGAAAGATGCACCCGCCTGCTGGCTGCAAGCAGAGACCTTCTGGGGGGAACCTTCAGCCCAGCACCCACTGATGGGTCCCCAGTGCAATGTCCTCAGCCCCTGGCACTGGTTGTGAGCTGCAGACAGAAACCCAACAGCAGACCCAGCCGAGAGGGGACTCATCTGGGCACGGTGCTGCTGGCCTTGCAGCCCTCACCTGCTCTTGATCAGTTCTTTTGTTTGAAAGAGAACTAATTCGCTAGCATAAATTAATAGAAATGTTTTACATAGGTACCCGAGCACAGCCGTGGCTTAATTGGCCTTTCTGACTGCTCTGCTCCAAACCCCATAAATCCAGATTATGATTCCCATTGTTTAATGACTGTCAGGAAGTGCTAATTTAGTGCCAGGCACCACTGCTGCTATCTCCATATCACAAACAAGTTTTGGTGTAAATCAGTGCAGGACAGCTTTATAAGCGAACTGCCGTTACAATATATTGTTGGAGAATCATAAAACTGCTGTTTCATTAATGGCTCATCTTCAGGCTTGTTAGACTTTCATTACGTGAGCTAATAGGTCCACGTATTTAAAAAATGAAATTACAGGTTCTAATCAATTATGAAAAACACAAAATCTCCGCATAATAAATTACGGAAATGAGACAGGAGTTGTTTTCTTTTTAAATGGACTCCCAGTGTTCGCTGCTCCTGAACAACAGAGACTGCTGAGACAACAAAACCCAGCCCGAATAGATAAATAAATCACCAGCAAAACCGTGCGAGGGGGAGAAATGTCATCCACACATTCATCTTTGTGTTAACGGCGGGATCCCCAGAGCTGCAGGAGCTGGGAAATGCATTGCAAACTTAATTACAGTTGACTTTAAAATGATATTTTTGGACTTTTGCATTCTGAAAGTTATTTGCATACAAATAGCATGTCACATAGTTTTAAGCCCAGGGCTGGCACGTTCGGGTTTGAAGGCTTTTAGCACCTGCACGGTGCTGTGGGTGCAGTGGGCTCCTTCCTGGGTGCTCCTTAGCCAAAGATGCAGCAGGTTGCAGTGCTGTACCCCTGCCAGAGCCAGTGCCAGTGCAGTGACATCCTGGTGACATGGAAGGGCCAGGCTCACTGCAGCACTCTCAGGTGCAGGATGTGCATAGGTGAGATATGAATGCTGCTGGCTCCAGGGCTGCTGCTGGGTGCTCAGGGGTTCCCCTTGCATGGCCAAACCTGGGGACCAGGATGATGCCACCATCATAACTGCTCACAGCACCCTGGGGCTGCAGCAACCAGACTGGAACTGTCTCTCTGGCAGCGTGTGCACGATGTGCTTTGTCCTGGTGAAGAGAATCTGCGACGCAGCAGAAATGCAGGAGGTTAAAGCTGTTGCTGAGTGAGCAGCGGGGCATGGACGTGTCTGCGGACATGGCAGGGTGAGCTCCACAATGGTCTCACTGAAGCAGTGTGGGCTGTAGAGCAGCCATTCCCCTCACCTGCCCTGGTGATCAGCTGTAGGAGCAGGGACAGGTCCTGGGGCTGTGGGAGCAGTCGGAGGGTCTCCTTCCAGGAGGCACTGTCTAGTGATGCAGCTCCTTTGCCACTCCCAATGCATTCCTTCAGCTTTCTCCTTCATTTGCTTTTAATTGTGCTTGCCAAAAAGGCTGGGAGTGATCACCAGGAGTATCTCATCACCAGGGGTATTGCAGCTCTCCATGCTCTTGGCTGTGGGATGCCAACATCCACTCACCAGTGCCCTTCAGTCACCCCGGCACTTCTCAGCCCTCCCTGGCACAGTGCTCCTTGCACACACATTCTGCTTGGCTGACAGTGTGGGACAGCTGACAGCCCCTTCCCCAGGACACAGCAGGGCCCTGCACAGCTGCAGACACATGGGGAAGAAGGCAGAGCCTCCCCAGCAGAGCACAGGGCTGCACTGCCAAAGGTGCCCCACTGCCACTCTGGTTGCCCAGGGTGCAACCCAGGGATGTGCATCAAACCTGCTAGGCATCCCCAGCTCCAGCAAATCCCCTGCTCACTGCACTAATCTGGCTGGAGATACAGCATTAATTCCTCTTGAATTAGAGATTATTTTTATTGTAGTTACTAAATTCTTAAAGCCCTTTAGTACACTGCAGACAAGCATTAATGCTCTCTCCCAACCTGTGAATCAACACCTGCCTGGAAGGAGTTAACTTCTCTCCAGCACCTTTCCCAGACCTGAATTATTAATTCTCTCATAATCTGCCTTTGGGCACCCTGCAGTCCCTACAACACTCCCACATTAAAGAAACATACGCTCCCTTGCTGGCTACGTTGCTTTGATGTTGAACATGCGTGAAACACTCTCCCAGGGATAAATTTGTACAAAAATTCATCAGATGATTGAGATATTGCGGATCAACATGCACGGGGGGAGCATGTGCTCAGTAATCCCGTTATGGCTCTGCCTTCAGCCCGCACAGTGCTGCACGAAGCACTGCCAGCTCCAGGCAAATATTTGCAGCCGCCACTCGCTGTGTGCAGAGGATTTGGCGGGTGCAGCCAGAGCTCTCCTCGGAGGCCACAGACTGATGTGTGCACAATCCTGGACTTCAGCCACTCGTCGGCACGAAACCAAACTGTTTAATTTGGCCAAAAAAAATCCCCCGTGCTGGCTCTGGTGGGAGGGCTGAGTGTGTTCCTGCGTGCAGGCTCTGCACCTGTAGCTGTGATATGCTACTTGGACACAGAGCGAGGTGACCATGGCTGGGAGGATGCAAGTGCTGTGCTGTGCCCTGTCACACCATACCGTGCTGTGCCATGCCAAGCCATGCAGTGCTGTGCCACCCCACGCTGTGCCATACTAGGCATGGCGGGACTGCAAACAGTGTCAGTAGATGAAAGCTCTAGCACAGCTCCACGAAGATTTTAGCAAAACTGGGTCAAGCATGTGAGAAACTGAGGTGTGAGGAAGATAAAAGAAGCTCTCACCAGCAGAGTGACATTGCAGCAGACTTTCAGGACACAGCCTACAGCAGCTGACACCAGAACAGCTGCTGCTCATGCAGGGACATGGCGCTGGGAGCAGCCACAGCCCCGGCCCCAGGTGGGGAATGCGGATGGCAGCACTGTGGGATCTCTGGCAGTAGGGCTTTGTCGCTGCTCAGTCCCGCAGGGTGGGCTCAGCACCATCCCCTAAAGCTGTATGGTTCAGGGAATCTGTCCCCACTGGGAAAGTGCTGTGCTGAGAGGAGACCCAGAAAAAGCCCAGCCCAGCCCCAGGCAGCGCGGGGTGTTAATGACAGAGCAGCTCCCTTTAATAAATGTTTATGTTCAAAGAACTTACACCAGTGCTCACAGACAGATAATGAGGGACATTTCAATGCATAAAAGCAGTGTGAACACAGTAATTAACTTTGTTGCTGATTCATTTTTAATCATTCAAACGCTCCAGAGATTTGCGGTGTCCTTTAAGTCAACACAATCTTTTCCAAAAGGCACACTGCTGCTGACCGTCACGCACAGAGGCACCGTGCAGCTCCCCTCTTCCTGAACGTCCCTGCCCCAAATCCCAGAGCTGAGCTGAGAGCTGTTGGGCTGGGGAAGCTGCAGCTCATGCGGATCCCTCATACAGCCACACACAGCTCCCGGGGGCTGGGGGCATTGCAGCACAGCAGCTCCCATGGGCACTGCAGGCTATGTGCAGCCCCTGATAGGTGCCAACAGCATCCTTCGCATCTCAGACTTGGAGCCCACAGCCGTGCCGGGATCCGAGCATAATCTCACGCCAAGAAATGAAGGTTAGAACAAATTGCAGGGCTTACAAACAAGGTCATGGAAGACAGAACGGGAACACACATCATTAACACTGAAGACTCAATGCTCTGCAAGGAGGTACCTTCCCGTGCCTTCCCAGCACCCTGGAGGGGAAGTTCCCATGCACTGTGGTCACTATTGGGGTCAGTGCCTTGCCAGCAGTCCCATGCTTTGGTCTGGGGCGCTGCAGCCCCTGCGAGGCCATGCACCCATCCTCTGAGCCACGGCCCTGTCTGAAGTCAAGGAAACTTCAAAGCATCCTTGAAGCTTGCTGCCTTCCTCTCTTCTTGCTAATTAACTTTAGCAAAATGCACTGTCAGTCAAGCCCACAAAACAGTATGTGTCGTTGGGCGAAACCTAATGGGCTCCCATTTGTGTGAGAGCCAACGTGGCCATTAGCAGAGAGCAATTAGTGAGGCGGAGTGCAGGAGCCAGGGTTTGCAGCTCCCTCCTGCAGGTGCAGAGGAACGTGAGCATTTCCCTCTCACCTGGGGTTCTGCTCCCTCCCCAGGGAAGGTGCATGGCCCATAGCTGGGCAGTGCCTGGGAGTCCCAGCTGCCACAAACCACTACAAAGACAAGTGCTGGAGCATCCCATGGGGTCACACAGGAATCCTGGAAAGCTGCACCCCAAGCTGCCGTTCAAAGTTAACTGCAAATTAAATGACTCCGCTTTCTCTGTGTTCTGGAAAATATTGAAGGTTATTGGCACACTGCTGCAGCAGGAAAAGCTCCATATTGTGCATTGAGCCCAGAATTGGTGATGAATCGATCCTCCCCAGTAGCTGGCCGGTTGGTTTCGGTTGTCTTAAAACCGATCTTGCTAAAAATACCTTTCCTGTAGTGTTTCTCTTGCTAATGAGGAGGATGAGAATGGTCGATGGGTACTGGGAACGGCAAGGGTGGGTTTGGTTGGCCGCTAAGGAGGCAGCGCCTGGGCAGCACGGGGAGCAGAGGGGTTGAGCACTGGCTGCTCACCGAGGACAGCACTCGCCCTTCCACACAGCCCACGTCTCCAGCAGTCCCAGTGTGTCCCCTCTCTCCCATGGATGACAGCTGCTGGCTGTGCTGCCATCAACCCCTCGCTGGGTGCCAGCGCTGCCTTTCCCCTGCTCCCCGCTCTCCTGGCAGGGCGACAGCAGCTCATCGCGCTGAGCATTAGACCTGCTCCACATTTAATTGCTCCACTTGCAAGGAGTAAAATCAATTCCACACTTTGTACATTAGCAGCCGCCGCGCTTAAGTTTTGGCACATTTGTAAGATTAAAAAAAAAAAAAAGTAATAAAACCCGGGAAGTGTCATTTAATTGTTTTATCTGAAGTAATTCGGAGACTCCGCTGTCCTGATGTGATCTCTCCATTGATCTAGACACAACTCCAGGCTCCGCAGCACCCAGCCATGCTCTCATCACCACCATGAGTTTCAGTCCTCCGCTGCCAGCGAGGCTCTCAGCCCTGAGCTCCCCTGCCCCATTGGAACCCAGGGGGCCTGCAAGGCCCAGGACAGTGCCACTTCACAGCCAGATGCAAGGCACACAGAGTTCCTACTGGGCTTGCGGCTCAGCATGACCCTGCTCCTCACCCACCCTGCTACACCAGGGCCCTTCGGCCAAACTGCTGCAGCTCTTGTCACTGTCTGCCTGTATTGCAGAATCATCCTTCATGGCTTTCAGACAATCTGAAGTTCCTTTAGGACAGTAAAAAAGCTTCAGAGCTCTCCACCTGCACCCATGTTAGCTCACCAGTCACCTGCCAGCAGAACCACTGCACACAGAGCAGCACACCTCTGGTTATACAGCTCTTTATGATTCTGGCTGCCCGCACCCCCTGACAGCCCTCCTGCTGCAGTGTTAGGGCTGGCACCCTGGGCAGGGATGCTGGAGGACCAGCCCAGCACCCCAGTGATGCACAGAGTGGCTTTGACCCACTCGCAGTCAGCAAGCAGCATCCTGACGCCACAGGCATGACTCATGTCTGGCCTGCACAGAGACAAACACAGGGATCCCAGAAGGGCCAAGAGGGAGCATCACATCACACTGCCTCCCAATGCCTTCAGGAGCCGATGAGCATCACCCTGCTCAGGAAAAGGGGAAGAGAGCAGAGCTGGGTGCACAGCCCCACAGCCAGCTGCATTGCTCCCCGCCCACCTGTGCCGGGCATCCTCCCCTGTTGCACGCTCACAGGCATTGGGTCTGACCAAGCCTCCTCCGCTTCCCGAGGCCGATGCCCCACGAGCACCCAGCCCTGCCTGAGAGCTGCCCAGGGCTCCCGCAGTGCTCACCGCAGCACGCTGAGCAGGATCCAGCCAGCATGCAGCCAAGACTGTGGGTCTTCTCTGAGCATCACCAAACAGTCCACAGAAGCCTTTACTTAAATTAAAATCTCACCATCTCCTCCTGGAGATGCACTCGCTGTTCTCTGCGAATTATGAGGGATCGCGGGCACACGCTCGCTTATCTGACTCGAGGCACACGGGGCGCAGGAGGACGTTCTGCCCTCTCACAGACCCTGAGATAAAAGCTGTCGGCAGAGGGGCTTTGAGGGACGCCGCGCAGCTCAGCAGTACCGGGGCGGTCGTGGTTCGGGGACCGCTTCTCAGCGGTGCGTGCATCCCCTGATGAGGCGGAGACGTTGGCACCTCCCGGGCCGCAGCGGAGGGACCGGCTGGGCACGGGCTGTGGCCGCCGCGCCGGGACCTTGCTAAGCCGCCTGCGCTCAGCCTCGCCCCGGGGATGCGCGGGAGTTGAAAGGCTCCGCAACCGCTCCGCGCAGAGCCGTGATTCCCCCCGCCCGTCGCCCGCACCGCCGGCACGGCCCAGAGAGATGCGGGGAGCCCGAGCCGGGCGGGCAGCGCGGGGTGGGAGAGGCGCGGGGCAGCGCGGAGCGACGTCGCTCCCGGGGCCGTTCCCGTTCCCGTAGCAGCGCTCACCTGTACCACTCCAGCCCGCGGTCGTAGTTGCGGTCGAAGAAGTGGGGCTCGGTGCCCAGGGCGCGCACGTCGGGGTGCACGCGGATGAACTCCAGCACGGCGCGGGTGCCGCCCTTCTTGACGCCCACCACGATGGCCTGCGGCAGCCGCTTGCTGCCCGGACGGGCCGGGCCCGGGGCGCTGCCGGCGGGCGGGGCCGGGGGCTCCCGAGGGCGACGGGCGGGCGCGGTGCTGCCCGGAGGCTCTGCGGGAGGCCGCCCGCACGCCCGCGACTTCTGCAGAAGTTTCTTGGCGGCGGCGGCGCTGCGGGCGGGCGCGCAGCGGGCGCGGGGCGCGGCGGAGCCGCCGCAACAGCAGAGGAGGCTGTAGCAGAGGTAGGAGCAGGACAGCG